CCCTTCCCCACTGGCCGAAGTACTCCAGACTCATACTACTCGAATCTTGACCCATGCTACCACCCGACACATAAGTTGAATTGGCAAGCCCGACGACCTATTGAGTGACTGCCACCTCCAGCCCACCCCGACAGCCACGACCCGCACGAGCCTCGCCGGGAGCCGCCACTGGAGGTCCCCTCCACACCCAGCACCAGGACGAGAAGAAGAACGGATGACGGAGATAAACACTTGTCTCGGCCCCAGCAGCCGAAGCCCGTCTCGGCGCCTCCCTCCACGGACCATTTGTCTCGAACTTTCCTCCACGACCAACCAGAAGAAGGTGATCGTCGCAGCAGCAGGGACCATCAACCAGCAAAGAGTGTAGTTAAACATTATGAGTTGGAAAAATTGGTGGTTTAAGTTTGAGTGGTATTGAGATTGTATTAAAATAATATGTAAAATATATTTATTAAGGTTGATTTGATGTAAAAGTGGAAGATAAGTTATTGAAAATAATGATTGGTTAAAATTATGTGAGTATATACTCATATATAGTGAATTAAAGTTAATGTGCGAGGACGATTGATTGATATTATTTAACTATATTGATAAAATTGAGTAGAGTTATGTTGAGTTAAATTTTGAATTAGATTTGGAGTTTTAAAAAATATAAGGTCAAAAGTGGCCAGATATCTTATAAACAATTAGCGCCGAAGTTGTTTGTGTGCAAAGTTGGAGTTTACCCAAAAAAAAAGAAGAAAAATAAAATAGAAGTTTCAGTTCAGTTTCTTACTAGTACAACGCCCGTGTATTGCACAGGTGCTTGCTAATTTTTTTTCTTAAAATAAAAAATTATTGAGAAAAAGTAGTTGAAAATTTAAATACTTTATATATATATTTATATTATACATTTAGTATGACACTTTTTATTTGTGCGGTATAATATTTTTTTTTAACTTACAACATATAACTACATTAAACATAAATATGTCAATTGAGAAATAATTTTATTTTGTTAATGAATTTTAATAAGTATTATTATTTTTTATTATTATAAAGATAAATATATTTTATTTACTTCATATATACAATATGGATGTCAAATCGAAGATCATCAAAATATGATTAATTTGATATATTATATATGTATAACCGATAAGAAATACAAAAGTTATCAACTTTTAAAATACATTTACAATTTAATAGCTAATTGAAAAAACAAATCAAAAGTCAGGGATATATTAGTCGCTTAGTGTATCGCTATGTAAAATTACAAATAACTAAAGGGTTATATTAATACAAGTGATATTAAAATGCCTAAGTTAGCTAAATAATATTTATGGAATGTCCGAACCTATATTATTAATTATTAATATATCAATATTATTTGTCCAAACCTAATTACGAAGCATGATTTTTCGCCAAGTAGGATTCCGAAGCACCAGAAACAGCCACGTAGGCTCAGCGCA